TTTTTTTTTTGTCTTTTTGTGACAGGGTCTTGCTATGTAGTCCAGACTGGCCTTGAGCTCACTTTGTAGCCCAGGCTAGTCCTGAACTGTCAATGATCCTCCTGCCTCATCCTCTCCAGTGCTGAGATTACAGGCATGCACCACCACACTCGGCCTTAACTTTTCAAAATGACTATGTTTTTATTTTTTTCTGGACATAGAGTCTTGCAATGTTGCCCAGACTGGAGGCATAACTGGACTATAGCTCCATCCAACTGCTGTTGACTTAATTCTATTTTATAAAATATGTCTACTTATGCCAGGCATAGTGGCACACGCCTATAATTCTAGCACTCGGGAGGCTGAGGCTGGAGGATCACTGGGAGTTTGAGGCCAGCCTGGGCTACAAAGTGAGCTCAAGGCCAGGCTGAACTGCATAGTGAGACCCTGTCTCAAAAAGAAAAAAAAAAAGTAATTTACATCTGGGAACAGTGGGGCATGCCTGTAATCTCAGTTATTCAAGAGGCTAAGGCAGGGGGATAGTGAATTTGAGGCCAAACTGGGCAACTTAGCACGATTCCTTCTTAAAACAAAAAAAATTTTAAAAATTAAAAAGGCTGGGGCTATAGCTCAATGTTCTCTGTCTGAGTTCAGTCTTGAGTACTAAAAAAAAGTTTCCAAAATCTTTACAGTGACTTAAAAACCTTAAAGTTATACTAGGCTAAATTAGATGGTAGATATTTGTTGAATATCTAGATCATTTTCACATAAGATGTAAACATTAACATTAGTTGTGTTTTTTTTTGGTTTTGGTTTTTTCCGGTAGCAGGAATCAAACTCATGACCTCATGCTTGCCAGACAGGTGCTGTGCCGCTGAGCTAAATTGACAGCCCCTAACATCAGTTGTTAAACATAAGACTAAACTTACCTACTTCTACCTTATTACAGAAGAACAAAAGGTCTGATAATAAACATGTCCTAGCTAAGTGTGGTGGCACATAGCTGTAATCTTAGCACTTAAGAGGCTGAGGCAGGAGGATTACTGCCAATTTGAGGCCAGCCTTTGCTACATAGTGAATTCACAACTAGCCTGAAAGACATAGTAAGATCTTCTTTCAAAAAAAACAAATGGAGAGACAGAGAGAGAGAGAGACTATATGATCAATCACTATTCTTACTGTATAGGATTAACCAGGCCAAATAAATTAGTCTTACTAGTTACTAAGAAATTAGTCTCACTAATAAATAAATTAGTCTTACTTTAATTATCTTTGGTGAAAAATGAAATTAATGTGGAGGAAAATTCTGTTTCAATAAAAACTACGCATGATACATTGAAAGTGGATGTCAAACAATGTCATTAACTGACATTGCCAAGTTTTCTCCCACTCTCCCGACTTGGAATCACTAAAAAATGAAAACTAGGGCCTGGAATGTAACTCAGCAGCACAGGGCCTACCTGGCAAGCACGAGGTCATGAGTTAAATTCCTGGTACCAAAAAAAAAAAAAAAAAAAGAAAGAAAAAGAAAGAAAGAAAACTACTGGGCTGGGGATCAACACATTCAGTGTTAGTGTCTCAGAGACCTAGATTTGAACACAGCACTGTAAACAATAAAACAAAACCCTAAAACTACTAGCTAGGCACAGTGGTGCACTCCTACAGTCCCAGGTACTCAGGAGGCTGGGAAAGAATCAGTGGAAACCAGCCTGGGCAAATTAGTGAGTTAGCAAGACCTTGTCTCAAAATAATAAAAATAAAAATAAAATGACTGGGGATATAGTTCAGTACAAGCCCTAGGTTCAATAGCCAGTACCACAAACATCCTCAAAACTAAGACTTCCATTTTCCTAAACTCCTAACAAGCTAAAGCTGGACAACTTGACATAAACTTCAGAGAAATCGCCACAACAGCTCATGTTTGCACATCCTTCATGCCCATTACTATATTAGCCACTTGAAAAGTTCACCTGAACACCAAGTGATATCACCAGAGACATCCAAACTACAAACTAGGAAATTTACTCACCTCCAACTAAAAATGCTTCAAAACTAAATGTCCCCCGAGTGTGTGTGTGTGTGTGTGTGTGTGTGTGTGTATGTTTGAGACAGGGTCTCACTGTGCAGTTCAGGCTGGCTTTCAACTCACTATGTAGCTCAGGCTGGCCTCAAACTTACAGCAATCCTCCTGCCTCAGCTTCCCAAGTGCTGGGATTATAGGTGTGTACCACCATGCCCAGCAATGTGTGCCATCATGCCCAGCCAATGTCCCCCACTGACTGTATTCTGGAATCAAAACTGGATTGACTTTATTCAGAGCCAGGTGCTATGGTAATCACCTGTAGTCCCGGTTACGGGGAAGGTCTCTTGAAACTGGAAGTTGAAGACTAGCCTGGACAACATAAGAAGATTCTTTCTAAAAAAGAAAAGAAAGGGGGCTGGGGATTTAGCTCAGTGGTACAGCGTCTGCCTGGTAAGTGCAGGGTCGTGAATTCGATTCCTGGTACCGGAAAAAAACCAAACCAAA